TTTAAGGTCTCTTCAAACCCAAACCATCCTGTGATTCTACGTCTCTATGATCATCCTGGTTTAACACATAAACTACCCACAACCATTTGCAAAGCTGAAGTGATTTGCCTGATGGTGTGAAGCAGGGAACCTGCGTCAGTGGCTCCTGGATCACCACCTTTCAGATGAGCTCAGGATGAAAGGACCAACCTCCTCTATGTGCCTTTGCAGTGAGTGCAGGTACTGGTGTCAGTGGAGCAGTCAGGGGTGTGTGCAGGGGGTCCCTGCACAGCCTGGCCCTGCTCCCACCATCCATGACACCCCCCCCTACACTCCATTAGCTCCAGCTCAGCACCAGGAGATGGTTTCTCTGTGGATGCTGCTCATTCTCCACTATAGGTGTGGTCACACTTAACAAACATGCTCACTGCCACTTCCAGCATCCCTTGGAGGTCCCTGTGAGCATCCCAGATCTGACACTTGTTTGTCAGGGCTGGTGACAGCAGCAGGTCCCTCTCAGGGCTGCTTGGGGCCATTCTCTCTGAGGAGCAGGGCTTCCCTGAACAATCCCCATTGTCCCCATGGCCATTGTTCCCCACCACCCCCATCCCGGGCCAGGCTGGAGCTGGCACCATGCACAAAAGGGCTGATTGTTCGGGCTGCTGTGCTGCCGATGGACAGCTTCTTCCCATAGCAAAGGCCTCTGGAGTCAAGTGCTGTGATTGCTCCTTTATTTATTTGGTTGGTTTCTGCTTTTCCCCTTTTTTCTTTTCTGATTTTTCTTTTCATTTTAATTTTCTGCTTGGCTGGATGAGGCTCTGCTGAGGCTGGGGATGAGCCAAGGGAGTGCCAGAGGCTATTCAAGCATGGCCAGCCTGGGCCCTCTCCATCCTTGGGGGTACCTGGGGTGTACAAAGCCTTGCAGCAGCACTAATGCTTAGCTATGAGGGTGCCCATGATGTGATTGATGCCTCAGTGCCCTGCGAGCTCACATCTTGTTGCCCCTGGGAGGATGGTAACTGCACATTGTACCTGTTGGGCCAGAGTGAGGATTAGCTCTTCAGACACTGAGCATCTCCAACATGGATCAATTTGTGCACTGCAAAACTCAAAGGAAAAGGTTTCTGGTTGGTTTCTGAAGCTCAGAAACCAACTCAGCTCAGGTTGGCCTGCCTCCTTCAGTGTTGGTTGCTGTGGTATTAAGGCAGGAGGGACCCTGGCTCAGTCCCATCATGGTAAGGATACATACCCTGGGCAGCTCTGGCCTTTCGGGTGTCTTTCACCATCATGAACTGGGGCTGGGGCAGATAAAGCTGGGTCCAAAGGGCTCTTAGCAGCAACCAGGAGCTGCAAAGATTTCGAGGAACAGCTTGAGCCAGTATGGTGTGTTTCATTCAGCGCTGGCATTTCATACAGTGCAGGGATTGGGAGGCTTTAAATGCTTGGGTGGAAAGTTTGAGCATCAAGGTATTAATAGAGTGTGCAATAAAAAGGGTTCCCTTTCCCTTCCCATGTCTCCAAGCCCATTTAGCAGCCACTGTGGCATGGAGCCTTCATGCCTTACGGAAACACAGCAGCTTTGGGGCTTGGAAAGATCATGTTATTAGGGTGACATTAGGAAAAGAACCTGCTTATTTTGAGTGCATCTGTGCTAGAAAATGCCCAAGGACAGAGCCGGGCTTTGAAGTTCAGCCAGAACCATCCCCATGTTTCAACTCTCATCAAAAATGCCGGTGAACCTGAAGTGCTTTTGGTTCATCCCTGTGGGCTGGATGACAACAGAGGGTATGGAGCAGCAATGAGCTTAGTGATGGGGCTCCAAGGCCAAAAAACCTGTATGAGTGGGGGTGATTTATAGATGGGCAAACTCACAGATAACATCTTAAGAGCAGGGCAGGGGGTGGCTAGACGCGACCATGTTGTTGTTTGGCCTAGTTCTTCATTCGTCAGATGGAAAGTCGTGACTTTTTATCTGAAAAATACCCAAATAGAATTCCATCAAAGCTGTTTTTAACCACTAACAATTCTCCTCAGGCCCCAGAAAAGTCAGCCAAAAGGTTCTCAAGAGCTTTACAACTGTTTTGACACAGTATTGCCTCACTGTACTTAAAAACCAAAGTAGGACCCTGGTCCTTTGGCTGTATTTTATCGGAGAGCTTAGGCCAGTTGTTGACTTGAGTGATGTAAGCAGTGGTTATTCCAATGCAGGGCAGAGGGAAAATATGGGGCCATTGTAGTGTTGTGGTAGTTCATGAGCAGTGAAAAGGAGACTTCTGGCCTGGGAACTGTTCACCTCTCAGGTGCGTGCCTTAGAAACTGGGAAACTGAGGCAATGGGATGAACAAGTAAAATATAGAGCTGGAGCACAGAGCGTTTGCAGGGTTGGTGTGTGTGTTTCTTTTTGGGGTTTTATGTTCATTTCATCTTCAGATACCCTTGATTACATGGGAAGAGGGTTTCGTTTACACTTGTGAGTAGTTTCCTTTATATTCTGCTCTTTCCATGGAAGTTTTTATTAAGCCTCTGTGTCTTTTTGCCCAAAACCAGCTTCGTTTTCCCATTACCACACTTAGCAATGCCATACTTGCTTGAGAAGCTGTGGCTTTCAGCTGGGAGAGGACTTTGCTGTATGAATCCAGAGCTTTCATATATAATTAATGCAGTCAGCTCCTTCTGATTTAATGCAGCCAAAAGGAGCCACATCTGGTGCCACTTCCGCAGGAGGGCTCTCGGGGAGGCTGGTGGCTCAGTCTGGGTGACTTTGAGTGCGTTATGAGACTCCCTGGGCTGGTCACTGCACAAGGCGTTACTGCTAGAGGGCTGAGATATGAAAGCAGCTTTAAATCTTAAAGCCAGGTTTAACACTTCCTGGTGGCCATGAGCTCTGTTGCCATCTCACAGGACGGTGCCTTCAAGTTGCTCTATGCATGTATTGATCTTCTTTCTCTCCTCTCCCTCTCTTTAGCGATTGATTCTCAGACAGACACGTAATCTGGACATAGAAACTGTTGTTTTGACTGTGCATTTCAATTGATCCTGCTCGGGTGGTTGTGACCATAGAGCAGCAAACTCAGCCCAGCAGGAGCGAGCTGCCCGCTATGCACTGCTTTATGGGCTGCTCCCATCTTAAAGCCCTTATTTATGCTTAATAGATAATTCTACACAAAGCCAATTGATTTGTATATTGCTATAGTCACAACCCATTGAATACATTGTTTATGGGCCTTTTTACCTGCAGGATGTTCTATTGATAGGGCTGTCCATGATGTGCTTATACCCTATTAATAATGCATTGACCAGAGACAAGGATGATATAGAGAGCACGATGTGCTCTTGCTTGTGCTCTTTCTCTCTCTCCCCTATTCAATATATTGCAGTGGATTTTGACAGCATGCAAACTAATTTTGTATTGACTTACTTATGCCAGTGTGAAAAAACACCAAACCAATTTATTCTCATCCTTCAGTCTATAGCCCCCAAACGTCCCATGGATTGGGTGGTGTGGAATTGATTTATTGTTCAACCCACAGGTTGTTTAAACACTATGTTATTGATGCTACCCCTTTAAAGGGGACCAAGGTGGTACCAGCCAGCAGCATAACTACATCAGTTTGGCAAATGGAGCTGGCTGGTGTTATGGCCCAATCCTGACTAAAACAGATGCAGAGGGAAATGTGTAACAGGGAAAGGATTACTGGTGTTTAACGCTTGTGCCACATGCACCCCCTTCTTGTCCTCTGCCCTTGCCCCCAGCCTCTGTGTCTTACCATGGCCTTCCTGGGGAGTTAAATCATTAATGAGGTTGGGAGTTAACTAACTAGGTTAAAATGACTCTCTTTAGGCTCAGGGGTCAGTAGCTGTCAGGGTTAAATGGCACCTATCCTGACTGCATGTGCATCCTCAAGGTTTGGAGCTGTCGATACTGAATCAGTTCCCATTTGGAAGCTGAATCAGTACCGCTTTCTCAGTGCAACAGCATGAAGTCCCTTACCCTGCCTGCCACAGTGGGGTCTGAGCAGGGGATGCAGGACCCAGCCACCCTTTTGGTGTTGAAGGACCAACTTTTAAGTCACTTCACACATTAGAAGACCTGGCAGCCCTGGGGTTTGAGTCCAGGTGGTTCCCTTTTGGACCTGTGCATGCTAGTGAGCATGTGGCTGAGAGGCATCCATCACTGCACCCACTAAAACAGTGTTACTGGGTTGCAGAACCTCATTCTCCAGGAGGAAGAAATGCGTCTTCATTGCAGGTGAGCCAGCTCTGAGGAGGGCTTGGGACCAGCACAGGCTGTAACACTGCATATGTCTGTGTGTGTGTGTGTGTTTATACCAATCACAGGGCTTTATCACCGCCAGATGTGCAGGAGCTCACTGTGCATACCTTACAAGGCCTTGATCTGGGAAAGGGGTGCTGCAAGCCCAGCTATCTCTTGACCACTGGAGACTCCCTTATCTTTAGCTGTATGTTTTCTTGTGTGTCCAAAGGCTTTGTGCATCAGGACATTCAGCTCTGTGGCTGCACATAGCTATGAGCCTTCCCTCCTAGGTAATACCCCTGAGGCGAGGCACATTCCCACTGGGACTCATTCTCTGGGTGACCACGTTCTGCATGTGATGGAGCTGGTGAGCAGAGTCCATGGACAACTTAAAAGCAGTAAGATCAGAAGCATCCACCCTCCAAATTTTCATACATCTCTGACACCAAAACCTAGAACAGGCTCCAGGTTGCTTGAGAACCACCTTGGTAGAACCAAACCCAGTGGATGTGAAATGAGCTCTTGGGTTATCACTTGGCTCCGACCAGTGCTGCCTTCCTTTCCCATCAGGGCTCTCTTGAAACAGACCCTGTTGTTGTGGTTTTCGAGACCCCTGCCCAAAACTGAAGCTCTGGAGCTCAGCAGGGGTATATGGATGTGCAGATGTGCAGCCAGATGTGGGACCCCACAGCCACACTCACCACCCTCCCGGGGGTACCCGGCGCCGCTCAACCGAAAGCAAAGGAGACGGGGCAAGAGCAAGTGGTCCAGTTCAGAACTCTTTAATACAAGCTTATATTGTTTGTGTTTCTGATTCTCTGTTCTCCCAGCATCTGGGGACATTAACCCTCATATGTGTGTGAGCATGTGTATGAAGATATATACAAAATCACACAGTTAAATATTTAAGCATACAAGGTATTATATATTTATATAATATAGAACTTTAGGGTATAGGAATCAACAATGGCAAAATATTTCTGATGAATCTGACATAACTTCTCTTTTTTTTTGGAGTGAAACATGACCTGTTTTGGAAAGACCAGAGGAAGTTGTTGCTTGTTCAAAAGAAAGAGAAAAAAAACCTGTATAAAGAAATTCTGTGAAAAGGATTTAAATCAAAACCATCATGAACCGAAAAAAAAAAAAAAAGGACAACTGTTAAAAACTGTATTGAAAAAAAAAATAAATTAGATGAACAACTGTGTAAATATAAATTAAAAAAAGATGACAATCTTAATAAATAAGCTTTACTATTTACATCTTTATATATTGCTTGGAGACTTAAATTAGATCCGTTAAAAACAAACGAACGCAAAATAAAACCCAAAATCGGAGCAGCAAACGTACAGGCGTGAGGTACAGAATTAAGGGTTGAGCTGTATTCTGCTTGTTTCTCTCTTATTTTTTTTGTCTTTTCTCTTTTATACAGTAGACCAGTAGAATTCGTGTGAAAATAGATCCTCAGCACTTCATTGGAGTATTGGTTGACATGGCTTCCAAAAGGTGCCAAGAAAGATTCCATCATCATCATCATAATAATAATAATAACCATAATAATCATAATAATTATAACAATAATAAAAAGATACAATATGATACATAAATATGGAAGAGCAGTTGGTAATATGAATACATTTTTTCTCTAGACGAGATCACAGTTTTATTTGTAAATATTAACACTGATATATATATAATATTACACAGATAATATTATATATATATCACATATATATTTATATATATATTTATATATATAGTACGGCTCAATCCTGCTCCCAGTGAAGTCAACAGAAAAACCCTGTTGACTTGATGGGAGCAAAATTCAGCCTCTCATCTGCAGACAGGTAAGTAATTACAGAGGCCGTACAATGCAAACTCCGCAATGGTTCCAATTCCCTCTTTAATTGCTGGTGAAATGTTCCGTTTAAAGCCCTGGTTCTTTGCACTCAGAAGATGGAAACTGGTGGCTGAATTGTGGCCTCACCAAAGGAAGGAAAAAACCAAAAGACTAAACCAAACTAGAATGGGAACCAAAGACAACTTGGACTAGTGAGCTCTGCATCTCGACCTAACAGGACTACCAAGTAGCACCAAGACTCCTCATCTAACACCTGAAGCCAACCCAAGCTCTTGTTTCTGGCTTCAGAGGAAGGAATTATTATTCTTAATGAATCTTGGATGTGTAGATCAGGCAAAACATGGAAAATTCAGTTTGCCAAACAAAGACAGAAACAAAACGTTAAGCCCCACTTTGCTCCTGCTGAAACAACTGGGGTTTTGGACATAGGTTCCCCCGGTGGCAGGAACAGTCCATCACCAAACCCCTATTGCTCAGAGTAACCATGGCTCCAAAGAAATACATCTTGGGCCACCTGGACCTGGCTCCTGCTGATGTCTTGGTCATGCTCCCACTGAACTCAGTGGTCAAGGTCCTCCATTGGAAAGGGGACTGTCCTGTGTGCCCAAGGTCAGTTGGAGGCAGAGACACTTCCACATCCCCAGCAGGGAGATGGCTTTCCCCAGAGGATGGGCTGATGTGGAAGAAACACAAAGTAAATCTGCTCAGTTGCACCACTGAGACCAAAATGAGGCCCACAGTCATGAAGAGTGTATCTAAGCCGGGCATATGGTCCTCTCCCAGTGAGATGAAGATGCCCATTAATTCTCACTGGGGCATCCAGGGATTGGGCAGGGGAGAGCAGGATGCTGCCAAAAAGCTGTGAATTTCCACAGCATTCCGATAGTTCAAAGGCCAAATCACCAGCTCTGAAACCCCTCTGAGCATCCCAGCCTTGGCTGACTTAACCCCAACCCCTCCTATCTTCTAGCTTGGCCTCAAATGGAAACAACGGGCTGGAGTGCGGGAAGGGGACGGTCGCATCCCACTTCCCACTGATGGGAATCACCTGTCTGCTCCAGTAGCAGCTTTCTCCTTCTCTTTTCACTCCCCATCCCTCGCAGCTCTTCGGGATTCAGACTGTGCAATGCTTCTGAGTGCAGTAAATAGAGCACAGTGAAATACTGGTTAAATGCGTATGTACAGTTGGATAACGTAAAAATAAGCACAAATACACACTTAAAAAAATAATCTGGAAAACCAAAAAAAAAACAAAAACCACCCTCATAAACTCCATCCCCTTCCCACCCCCAAATAACAACAGACCAGGGAAAAATCACCTTAGCCTCAGTTCCTGGACTTCTCACAAAGCACAAGGAAAACAAAACCAGACAACGTTATAAAACCTCACGGTACTTCTAGGGAAATCTACATTTCAGTATCTAGCTCTCTACTCAGCTGGCAGAATCACTGTTTTCCTTTCAAACACACAAAAATAGGCTTTGCTCTTCTTGGGTTTGGATTATGCGGGTTTTCTTTTCTCTTTTTGTGTGTGTGGGTTGGTTTTCTTTTTCTTCCTCTCTCTAAAGCCTCAGTTGTTATTCTATTCCCCCACTTGAATCAGTTGCAGCAAGAAACTTCTGCTGGCTATTGGGCTTGCTTTTTTCTTTTTTTTCCTCTCTTTTTTTGTTTTTTTTTTCCCTTTTTTTGTCTTTTTTTTTTGTTGTTGTTGTTATTTTTTTCTTAAACACAGGTAAAACCTAGAACAAACCGACAGTTACAACCAAGTGAAACCGAAACCGGAAGGGAGGTAGCTGGAACCCGACTCCAAGAGTCCTCTGGTGCCATCCTCCTTTCTCAGCCTGGGGTGGGGACAGCGGAAGATGCAAGAAAAGCAGGAGGACACCAGCTCAGCCTGTCTGCAAGAGGGTGGGGAGGGATTGGGGTAGCAGCTGATAGGAGTTTCCCACCCCACCATGCACCACTGACCGCTTTCTGCTCCAGCTTTCCCTCCCACTGGCCATGGACAACCCCAAGAGCTAGAAGGCAGGCTGGTGGCCCCAGGTAGGGTGCAGCCTTGGCTCGCTATCTTTGACAGAGAAGATCTTGGCACTAATGTGACCTGGACTTCATGAGCAGCTAAATGTCATCAGCATGAGCACCCTCTCCTGATCCTCCCAAATTCTTGTTTGATGTTGACCTACGCCACTGGGTCAGCGGGTGGACATGGTGGGAAATGTCCTTCTCACCCCCACCCAATGGCCATCGTAGCCACGGAGGGTCTTTCCTATAGACTCCACTGGGCATTCAAGGCCCTTACAGTGGTAGATGCTGCAAGGCCATCCAGCTGGCCTTGCCCCAGCATGGGAACACAGGGAACAAGAGCTGAGTCCATGCCCCATGTCTCCCCTCTCCACATCCCCCTGGATGCACGGTACAGCACCTGAAACGCAGAGGGCAAAGCTTTGCCTCAATGCTATCTTTTCTCAAAGAAAAAAAAAGCCATTGGATTACTGGATTTAACATGACTCAGAGCAGAACTTCCGCTCCCATTGGAGGAGATGGACAGTGCCAACATAGCAGTTGGAAAATAAAAATCAAATAGCAGCATGGAAAGCCCATGGGAAAGGGAGTTTGGTCACCCCTGGACTGCAGGAGTGAAGCTGAGGTGTGAGACTGCTGGCAAGAAGCCACCATCTCCCTTGAGCTTGAAGGACTCCAACTCAGTGAGCAGGGGCTGGCCCTGGCTGGGCAGAGGAGCTCATCAGGCCCTGAGCTCCTGGAAGCCCACAGCAGCAAGTGGCAATAACGTTTATACAGACCTGTCTCTTGTGGGCAATGTGTTAGGTGGGACAAGCAGATGGAAAATCTCCTCCATGCTGAACTGCATCACCGAGAAGGGGATTTTGGAAACGGAGCTGCCATCAGGATTCACACAGGACCTGAACTGAGGGTCCCTGCTAGGGTAAAACCCAGGTGGCGTGGAGGGGAGAGATCACGTTAAGAGGCCTCATTGAGGACCTGATACATTGGCAGTCTGAAAGGTTGTGAGCTCTTCTGATGGATGGCACATGAACAAACTGCCAACACAAAACAGGAGGTCAAAGGGACCAGAAGGAAGCAACTTCTTCACCATTAACTTCCATTGTTAATGAGATGGCAAGGGGCAAAAGTGGACATTTTGCCCAGGCCCAGTTTTCGTCACTGCTCTCCACACTGGCAGACGTTCAGCCTAATTCCATGAAGGAGCTCTGATTCCACCACACCTCCCTTTCCTGTGCACCCCTGTCCCATGGTGCAGAGCCATCGCACAGCTCCCATGGCCAAGCCTTCTGCAGGAATAACTAGGAGCTTCACAACAGAGCTCCTTACGTTCTCATGACAACCACCTCTCCAGGCCTCTACATTTTAGTCCTCGAGATTCACCTCTGGTTTGTTCAGATGAAAACAACCCCAATATTGGGTGACAAGAGCCTGGCTCCTTGCACCTACAACTCTGTCAGTTTTCCATATCTAGTTCTCCTACACATTTTTACATCCACCTCTATTTTCCTTACCTTTCTGTCTTGCTCCAGTGCCTAAATGTTCAACCAAACAGGAGTAGGAAAAAAATCTTTCCAGCCTGTCTTTACCCAGTAGATGTGGTTAGAACTAGATTATCTTTAAGGTCCCTTTCAGCCCTAACCATTCTATGATTCTATGATTGTACAAGTCATAAAAGCCCCAAGGAATAGAAGGAGACTCTTTTGGATGTATGTCCTTCCTAGCAGGAGCCTGAAGCAGCAGAAAACAAGCCCAAGCCACACTGGAAAGATCTGTGGGATTCCCTTGGGATGGGTTGTAGCAGCAGTGGCAGCACTAGATGCACTAGGCATCTCAGTGACTCAACATGATGAACCCTATAATGAAATAAGCCGAGGGTCTGGCACAACACGGATGAAGCTATACGATAGGGAAGGGTGAGGTCTGCTGCAGCTAATGCCCTTTCCTTCTGGAAGATTACAAGCAGCTAAGCTCCTGGTCTATCAGAAGGCTTCAACCCGCTGGCCTGGCAGCTTAATACTGACAAATACAGCCAAAATTCTAATACTGTCCCCTACAGCCCCTTCCCCACAGCACGTGCCCCTTCCTGCTCTTCCCCTCTCCTGAGAAAACAGGAGCATGAAGCGGTTGTTAGATACAGACCACCACAAGGAGGTGGAGGAGGTCTAGAGAACCACTTGGCTGGATGAGGACCAGAAAGCAGATTCCTTTGGCTGGCTGGTGTCCTGTTTTCTTGCCCCAATGCTGAGGAAGAGACCAGAGGGTTTGAAAGGCAGGTTGTAGGTAAGCTTTAAGGCAGACTGTTTGGTTGCATGGGGTTGTTTTTCACCCTGTCCTGACACAGTAAGGAAACTAGTTGTATGGGACATAGCAGCAGGAGTAGCAGCAGCAGACATGCTCAAATGACAAGTGCGGGCGCAAGTTACCCTCTCTGCTCCTCAGAAGCAATCATCCACCTTCCTCAATGCCAGTCCTTAGACTCCCCACTCCCTGACTCCATCATGGGACCATTTGCCCATCTCCACACAGAAACATCCCAGCAGCCCTGCAGGCTACAAGGGGACTTTTTGTTGGCTTTTTTGAGGGCAGGGGGAGAAGGAGGAGCTGTACAGAAAGGCCACTGCAGTCTGCTGAGCTCCCTGGCTGGAAGTAGCATTCCTGTGAGGAGCAGAAGCATCCCACATCTCGAGCTGGCTGGGCGTCTGGCAAGTCACTTGCCAAGAGCCACAGCCCTGTGGAGATCCCACCCCAATCTCAGTGCCCCGAGCATGCGATACCTTGGCATTCAGCATCAGAAAAGGCTCAGCTTGGAGTCCTCCAAGAGCACAGCCTCTTCCATGAACGGTCTGACTTGTGAGTGCTGGGGAGGGGAAAGTGTTTTTGCGTTGATCATCATCTCTCACTCTTTCTCTCTTTCTCTACTTATTTCTATAAATATGTGTACATAAATAGCTTGTTTCTCGCCTTGAATCTAAATATGAACTGTTCAGATTAGGTGGGCATAACATGCTGTTTTGATACATGAAAAGTCTTCTCGACTTGACTCTCAGTTGTTTGTTTCTCATCATCACTATTTAAGATAGAGTTAATACATAAACCCCTACTTTTGAGTTCTCCTTGGACAAAAATTAAAGGCAGACTGGTTGAATTCTAAGGGTCCCTGGTGCAGAAATGCCATCCAGTTGAGCAGCTAAATGTTAAAAACGATACCAAAAGGGATGTGGTGTCTCTCCTAGCCTGCCTTGAGCAGTGTGGTCCTCCTTTCCACGTCACTTGGCATTACCCAAGACTGAAGCCACGGAGGTCTTTCTGATTGTGCTCTTGGGCGTTGGGGTCCCGGCAAGCACATTCTCCTTGTAGGTCACAGGACATGGGGAAGGGAGTAACCTGGGGAAAGAAACCAAAGACACAAAGACATGAAGGAGGGAATTATAACTACAGCACCCTGGAGAACAAATGAGACCTCTGGAGTGGTATCTTCAGAGATCAGGTGCAGCCTTCAGCTATGTTATTTCTACAGTGATTTTTAGTGCTGAGGTGGTGGTGCACTGGGGCCTCAGGTGAGCTACCTGTCCATAAAAAAGGCTGCAAGAAGTGTAAAGAACCTGTTGAACTCACTCATTCAGTTACTGTCAGGTACTCCCTTAACAGCTCATATTAAGCACATGGATATAGCTGGCTGGGAGCATGTGCTTCTCAGGCAATTCAAGGGCTTTTTGGGGTACTTACCACAGTGCTTGGATTCTGTTACACCTCCAGCCTCCTCTGGAAAGCTACCCTTACTCTAAAGGTTGCAAACACTAAATGACAGCAAAGTTGACCCCTCATCTCCCATGGCCAACTCAAATGCTCACCGAACACCACACCAGGTCCCAACTCCAGCCTCACCATGCACTTCTACCCAGCTTGGGGGGTTTGGTGAACCTAGGCCATAATTCCCTGCTGTAGGGTAGCATTTTTACTCTGTGGCTTGGGATGCTGCTTGAGTGCCTATCTATCTATGCATTGAGGTATGAATGTTCTTGGCTCCAGTTCCTCAGGAACTGAACCAAACACTGCCTGGCACATCAGTGAAGCTGCAGTCCAGCAGAGACTTCTCCAAATACCTGTTGTGTTTTAAGGTCAAGAGATGCAGCTAACGGGCACTGAGGAATGGCAAAGGAATGCAAGTAAGAGGCTTCTGCATGCATGAGCTGTCATCTGTCCACGATCTCCCTGGAGTGGGAAGGAGCTGAAACAACAGCCTGCAGACCTGGCTAGTGGAGCTGATTTTGGCTTATCACATCACAGCCTTTACATAAAGAAAAGGGGGTGGCAGTGGAACGGTGCCCTGCTTGCCCTGAAGTGAATTCCCAAGAACTTCTCCCATCTGCACAGACTGAGCAGTGACCTCATTCCTCTCCTTTACACCCCTTCCAAGGCAGTGCCACAACCTGTTCCAACGTTCCCAGCGAGGACTGCACGCATTCTCCTTCTGCTTCTCTTGGCTGTGCTGCCGCATGTTTGCTCTCTCTTTCATAAACACTTTCCTCCAGGCTATGAATCCTGAGTCTGCCTGTTACCTACGCATCATCAACAGCACATCTAGGAATGTGGAGCTAGCACCATGTGTGAGCACAGAGCTGTCATTTACACCTAGACCTTCCGTACGTGTCCCCGCATGTCCATCTCCAGCATGCCTTTCTCCTGACGCACACAAGAACGGGATGGAGGGGTGTGGATCTTTATTTCACAACTGGGGAGCCTAAGGCAGGGACATGCTGACAGAGACATTAGATAGCCAAGGCTCATCACCACATTAGGGTTTAGAGAGCCTCCCCCCCTTGCTTTTGACTTCACTGCCAGAAGACCAGGTAGAACAGGGTGATGACTCTTATTCAAGCCATGGCCTTGGTGGTTTGCATGCTAAATAACCAACCAGCGAATGATTTGAATCTGCAATTGTGCAAATGTGGAGGTTTCAAAGAGAAGAGATAGTCCAAAAAATCAAAAGCAAATGAATTGAAATAATTAGAAACTGAAGAAGTTTATAAACTGCAGAAAACAATAGGAGCTTAAGGGTCACTTCATCCAACAGCAGCCAGCCAGAGCAAGACTGTCCCATATCACAGTGTTATGAATATTCTTAGATAGGAAAACAGAGAAGTCTGCAAACAATGGGGCTTGGGGAGGAGGCTGAGGAGGGATTGTTTAATGACTGAATTAAAATACTGAAAAAAGAAAAGATACATGAAGAAAACATTGACTTTTTCTGCTCAGTGTAGAAGGAAACATTTTGCTTTCAGATCTCTGCTACAGTTCAGGTTTGACCTTTCCCTCCAAATAAACAATACAAATAACAAAGACTATTTCAGAGCAAAATTATGTCTTGAAATAAAAACTTATTTCACTTAGAAAATGCTCAAACAAAACCATATAAATAAGTTTTCCCCTATTCTTATTTTTTATCCTAAATCATTCAGTTCAATCTGGATTTGGCACTGATTTTGACTTTAAAAATCCTTCTTTTTGTACAACAAAGTTACTGGTTGGAGGAGTTGGGAACCTGCTTCTTCCATTTGTCTTGAGTAAGCTTTTTCCTCTCCCTGCCTTGGTTTCACTGTGTTTGTCTGCAACAGCCTAACAAAGGTATTCAAAGCAGAGACAGGCTCACAGGGAAGGTGGATCTTGCAGTGAGCACTGGACAACCACACACTCAGCTCAGGCATCTCAGTAGTGGCTGAAATTAGCCATCACCTCCTACTGCACTTTGCTGCTGTCCATGCACAAGTGCGGCAGTGAAATGTGTTGCAGGCATGGAGATCCCAGAAATGTTGGGACGTGCAGAGACATTTCACTTATGGGAACATTGGAGCCAAGAGGGAAAGCCCTGCATAGCTACATCTCCAAACTACGAGCTCACACTTGCCAAACCTACCCTGTGGGCTGTGCTGAAGCAGTGGCCTTAGAAACCCCAACTGGCATGAGTTTGGTGTTGCCTTGAAGTGAGCCACTGTCTTCATCCTCTGTCCTCCCATTTCTCCTTGCAACTCCCCCATTTCCCCCTTTTGATATCTTACAGGTGTCTGAGAAGTGTGCGCTCAGCACTGGAGCAACCAGAACAAAAGGCGCGCATAAAACACTACGACATTGCCACTCCATTGCAGCCAATTTCTGGTGAGAAGGAGCCACCACAGAAGGAATGTCTTGCTGTGTGGTGTCCTCTAGAAACCCTCCGGTCTCCTAATAGTGACATGGACAGAAGAGCAGAAGCTTTCTCTCTGGGGCAGACGAGAGCAGACAGTTTCATGGCTCAGCAACAGCTCACAGCAGTGGGTAGCCCCAGTGTAAGAGGGTTCCTTCCTGATCAGATTAGTCTTATTCACTTTATGTCCCTTACAGAGCTTTTTTATGCAATCTGATTTTTACAGTGCTATTGTCCAGATAGATGAATTGTTTTGTCTTATGGCAGTGAGCTCCAGAGATCAGTTTTCTATTATGTGAAAAGGCAGAGATTTCTATGGGTAATGAGCACATCCATGGTCATATTAGACAAGAGAAAATTCTCCAAACACTTAGCAGTGATACAGGGTTTCCACTTTAAACAACATCTACAATACACATTTGAGTTCCCCAGGGACCTGATTTCCACAGGTATTTAGGGCATCTAACCCCCACACAGCATCAACCAGGATTGCCACAAGTACCCAATTGAGAGAAATCATAAAACCCCTTAGAAGAAGGAGTGTCTCTGGCCTTGGGCTCACACAGTGATAGCCCTCTGGAGTACAGAGCCATGAATAAAGCTGCTGGATGTGCTAGGAATAATAAATGCAAACCTTTATCTGAATGATAGCCCATTTAGGTGTGGAGCCCAGATCTACATACTCCAAGATGAAGTGCTTCTTTTCTTTTTAAATAGGTCTGTGAAAGCCCAACTCATTAACAGAATATATGACCTGTACTTGTATTTCCAGAGATACCCATTGTAAAGCCAGTATTAAAGAATTGGCTCTTCTTCCTTCCTGCATTTCACTTACATCTATCTCCCCCCATAGAAAACCTGGTTACTATTTAGGAGAGCAGGGAGAAAAGGCTAAGAATTAAACTTGGAGCCTGGCTTGGTCATTGATGAAGAAATGCACAATATTGCCTCCTTAGACTAACTAAAATAGGTTGCAAATGCAAAACTGGAGAACACAGCTCCACATACCTACGTGCAACCTGTACACACACACACATATCTCCTGTGTATGATCTAGAACAGAGCTGTGGATCAGCAGCACTGAGGGTGATGTGGGTCACCTAAACCATAGACCCATCTAACTTCAACAGACACAACCTAAGTCAGGTCTGTCACTGCAGAAGTGTGATGGAGCCTGAAGGAGCAATTGCAGCAGGTATAGGGTTGTAGCCTAGGCAGGACTAGCACAGACACCAGGGTGTGATGCACGGGAGATCTGAGATACTTTCACCTTGATTAACACATGCTGCATGCTGTGAAGAGCTATGAACCCTCATTTCCACTCTCTGCAAAGGAATGGAACCCCTAAGCATCCTTTCCCATGAGACCATGGATAAAACCCAAGCTCCCTCTTGGAAACAGGGCTGCATTTGCCCTTGATGCCATGCTCCCAACTATGGGAACAAAGACAACGATACAATAGACCAGTGCAGAACTAGGATCGAGGTCATGAAATGAGTGAGAGGCCACAAATCCTCGCTACATGGCACCTATCTGAAGAGGCTGGTGACATCCCAGCTGAGAAAGGCCAGTCTATAGGGAAGTGGTGGGAATGCTGACACGAGAAATCCCAGACAGGTACAGGGAGGGATGGGAAACAGTCCTGCAAAGGGTCGGAGCTCATCCCTCACGAAGGCTCCTATCGGGCTGACCCCATCAAAGCAGCACCAGGGCAGGCAGAATCAGGCCCGGGGTGTGTTGGAGGCGAGGGGGAAGCAGGGGAGGAGGGCTGCGAAGTGTTGGGAAACAGCCTGTTGTTAGATTTCAGGCCTGAAGTGTTTGCGAAATGTCCCAGACAAGCCTAACAGGGAACCTGAAGGCCCCGCTGCAGACAGAGGCACTGCGGGCGAGCGCGGCGTGCCGAGATAAGCGTGGCAGGCTGTGCCGAGTGCTGCAGCCCCGTGCCTCCCGAGACCCTCCCTGCTCAAACACCGGGAGTGTTCTGTTCCCTGACAAGGCCCTTGTGGGACAAAAATGCATCTTGTGAGGGTCTTCTTGGTGGTTTTCGGCGCTGAGGTCACCAGGGCTGTTTGGAGATAACGGAACAAGAGCGAGCCCCCTTTTAACTCGGTGCTGGTATGCAGGTTCACACCTAGGGCACCGCTCCGGAGGGCCTGGGAAAGGCGAAGATGAAGCTCTCTTCTCTGTGCAGCACAAAGAGTCT